TTACGCAGTAATTCTCAGGCGAAATACTACAGCGATTTAAATATTAAAACATCTGGTAATCAGATCTTTCAGACTGTACCCTCATCGGCATATTAAGTCACCGAATAGCTTGATATTCGAACTATTGCCTAATGATATTGCACTCTTTTTCTCGGGGTTTTTTAGTGGTCGGAAGGATGGTCTGGAATGTATAATTTTGTGACGGAGGTGTTGTAAAATAAAGAGAACTAGTCGAATTGTACGCACATCCCGAATTAAAATTAAGAATTTACTCTTTCCGCCTCAGCGAGGAGAAATGGTCATGCTAATCTTCAATAGGCCTCTCAGCCAGCTTTCCACCGACCGACCAATGACTACACCACATTCTAACGCTTTTCAGCGTGCACCAAAAAACCAGGAAAGGACCTCTGCACGCTCACAAAGAAAAGAAAGATGATAAACAACTCTGCGGCGAATGAGAAACAAGAATATGAGCACTGGTAAAAACGGTTGCTGAAGACATTTGGTTTATAATACCCAGAAATTCATACACAGTGGGTAAAGGCGTTAGTTAGATCCAAAAAATGTGATTTCAATACCTGTTTAATCAGAACTTGGAGAGGGGAATTAACATCCATTAACTGACATCCATTAGACATGGCGGAACAGTCTAACCCAGCGAGCGAAATAAAGGCTTCAGTTCGACATTCCAACGTTGAAGTACAACGGCCGAAAACGTTGTGATAAATATGTCAACAAAGATGAGGGTGATATTCCGAACAATGTGTATAGTGTACATAATACTCAAAAATATAGACATCTATATACCTAAGTGTTATATCCAGAGCTTCTGTCATGTCAAACAAATCAGCTTCTAGTCATCTCAACATCACACAGAATGGTTGGCATCTAAACTACCCGGGAACACTCTGTCCCACAGCATCCAGTCCCAACTATGGCTGTTAATATAATTCACGATCTCCGATTAGTGGTCTGACAACACGAACGGGAGGCGCCGGAACGGACAGTCTGTCGTTCACTCCCGCCAAAGGGACTATGTCTGTTAATATAAGCCTGGTGCTAAGCTTTTGGAACTTTTTTGCACCCAAGTTATCCATTATCTTGTTTCCCCTTCGTGCAAGTGGGTAACGTTCGACTTCAAAAACTTTATCCACCGTCGGTAAAACACGAAACATTTCCCCCATCCTCTGTATGTTTGCCAGTCATGGTGTCACAGGTTACATGACAGTTCATTTCTCACTGGGTATGTTAATGACTTCTTTCTTTCTTTTTATGTGCCCTGTCCTTTCAGGACGTAGGCGATCATGGCTCTCCACCTCCTTCTATCCTTTTCAGCTCTCAATAAGTTCCTTCCCTCTGCTTCCTCCCTCAGACCACGTTCTGTCATCCACTTGCTTAAACCCGCTAGGTATGTCAAGCGTTGTTTTCCCTTGTCACGCATTCCTTCTATTCGACCCGTGAGTATCAGATTCCCCAGGCCCTCCTTCCTCATTATGTGTCCCAGAAACTTCCGCTGCCTCCTCCTTGTTTGCAACCCCATCGTTGCTCACTCGCTCGGTCCATGATATCCTTAGAATCCTTATGTAGAACCACATCTCTGTTGCCTCGAGTCTCTTCTACGGCTAATAAAAATTAATCCTTTGATCAATTTAACTGCAAACTCGTAAAATAGGATTCAGTCACAATTAAGATATATTCGGTATCCAGGGTGCCTTGGAGGGGGGTAATGTTTAGCAAAGTACGTCTAGTAGACCATTATTTCTGAATAGTGAGATTGATCTTCACTGGGTGCCCCATGCAAAATTAGATATTACATAACTCAATGACAATATAGAAATCATCCGATGATAAAGAAGGCTTCCTTGACAAAAATTATGAAGAGCTAAAAATGATTCCGAATGCATGCTTTTTGTTGAAATGAAGTATCATTTGTAATTTTGAAAATATTTCGAGGCTTATTTTTATTATTTTCAGAGCATTATTTGACAAATATTATTTTTGAGATTATTTTTATCGTCATTGTGTATGTTCTAAGATTTCTTACATGTTATATTTTTCCTATGTTTCTTAAATATTACATTTATTTCACACCAAATGTCATTTTTTAAAATTTCACGTTTTTTACCGGCTTCTTAAATGTAAGCTTTTTTTTCTTTTTTTTTTTGTAGATTTCTTAAATGTTATATCTTTACACAGTTTTCTTAAATGTCACAATTTTTCAAAGAATTTGTGGGAAATAAATGTTACTGGCGATTAACTCTCCCCATAGGATTGGGGGTACTGCTGTTGGTTGCTCGGGAGATTTGACTGAATCTTCTTGTTTCTTTTTTCCAGTAAAAATGTGATTGCGCACTGGGCTTAAAAGACGAGGCGGCTACTATTGTTAACCACTCATCTGTTTTGATTCGTCACAACTCTACCAATTACATGGATATTCTATGTATCTTTTCTTTTTTTTAACATAATGGTAGACCCGTCTCCGTCTATAATTAGAGAATTTTCGACAAAGAAAAGTCAAGATCCGAGTTAATTTCGTTATACCCACTTACGTGCAAATACCCTTGGGACACGTATGAATCCACCTCTTCTCCCCAGCTATGGATTAAAAAGTATGGCTTGTAACAGTTTCTAACAGTTTCTCCTATCGCATTTCTTGCTTGTGAAATTCTGTCCCGGCTTCTTGACTTCCAGTCAACTTTAGTCTTCAAAGATTTAAATGCAATGTCAATCGTTATCTTCTGTCTTTTTAATTCATGTTCTTTTATTGTTTTCTTTCCTTAATAATGTTTTCCTTTTTCTTATATTTTTACATACTGAGTACCCCCCTCCTGGGTCTTAGTGGTTTTGTTGTCTTGCTTGGAGTGGAATAATTAAAAAAAACATAAACAAAAACCAAAAAAATATTTCATTTGTTTTTATATCAATTCCGGTAAAACGTCCTCACCTTTCGAACAGTCTGGCAGACCATGAATTCATAGAGTGAATAAAAACATGATTTTAGGTCACGCTATCGTGGCCTTCTGTCAAACTAATCTGCTCTGTTGAAAATAAAAGTTACCAGCGATGAATTCTTCCCATAGTGGTGGAGGCATTGCTGTTGGTTGGAGATTTGAGTTTTCTCCCGCCTGATTAAAATGTGATTGTGATTTGGGTTTGAGAGGTGCCCTGTTAATAGACGAAGCGACCACTATTGTTAACCACTCATCTGCTTTGCTTCGTCGCGAAGAACATCTTTTGTATTCTATGCGTCTTTCCAAGATAGTTAGACCCGTCATTTTTGAAAATTAGCGAAATTTTCGACACAGTGAAATGACAATTTTTTCCACAAATTTCTTAAATGTTATTTTTTTTACAAGTTTTCTTAAATCCCACATTTATTTCACAAACTTTTCTCAAATGCCTGATTCTTTCACTCTTGTAAAAATAAAGCATAGCAGAAGTCAAGTACTTCTAGGAGTGATGTACTGATCCGAACATTGCTGCAGCATCTTTAGCAATGATAATGGTAATATTAACCGTTTCCTTACAAGGAAACATTTGGCATTTATTGATCGAACAGCCATTACTGCTTTCGGTTGTAATTTATAAAATCTTTCGGTTATATTCCGTGCTAATAGGAATATGGAATAGACAAACACGGTGGATAAATAGTAACAGGTTTATTGTAGAAACCAGTACATCAAGCAAGGAAGTAATAGTTATGCGCATGGTCGTCGCAAGTCAATACAGTTGTGTGCGTGATGCCGCTAGTCTCGCAGATCCCAGCTCAATTCTGCCATTCGCTGTTCTAACGAATACTTATAGGTGGTTACCACCTATAATGCCGCCATTCATGGGGTGGTAGATTATTCCCTCACATCACTTTCTCTTAAAATAACTTTTCAGGAAAACAGGTTTCTCAAGTCCAGTAGCTGTTATCGATCTTTCTAGCATTGATATCGGTTTCCTTTCTACATTTTATTTGAAGTAGTGTGTAATGTCAACATCTTAATTATGTCATTATTTTCTCTTCGAGTTACATTTTAGTTGTTGCGGCTGTTGGTAGTCCTCAATTTACGTGGTTCCTATTATGTGCTAGAGTTCTTTATTTGTGAATCTGTAGTGCCACTTTGCAATGTTCAAAGAGAGACGATCTTTACCAAAGCCGTCAGTCTTTATTATCTCAAAGCCTTTTTTTTTTCAACATTTGAAGCAGTTGTATACAGCTGATATTTCTGAACGGCTTTGACGCCATGCATGTAAAAGTCGCGATCTAACGAGGCTATTTAAGAAATGGGTCGTATATATGAGTTCCCTTTGAGGTCTAGAATGAACTTGAGACCCAGCAGACGTTCAAAGCATGGAAGCCTTTAGCGTGAACGGAGAAAACTCTGGATTTGAACTGTGATTAAGAAACTATATTAACTCAGTTCTTAAGATATTGAAAGATATAAGCCAAATATTTCCCCATTGA